TTTGTAGACCAGTGGCATAGCCCCTCGCCCGAGGGGGTGGCAGTTCATTCAACTTTATTTTCATTTCGTAAATAGCACGAATTTTGTCCTTCATTACTGTTTTCTCTCTTTTGTCCATGATTATTTACAGTTGTCAACAATAATTGTGGTAGCAGCGCTCAAAAATTAAAATTAAAATGACATTTTGAAAGCAAAGCACAAAATTGTTTTAAGGGGCTTCGGTGGGCGGGCAGAGGAAAACCTGGCCAACCGATAAAACCGGTTTCCACACCTTTGCCCCACGCTGCCCAAGCTGAAGAGACAATACAAAAAGTAAAAAAAACGTTACTTCAGTCCTTCACGCCACGCAGCATCCGACGCAAAGCACGCCAAGTTGTCCATTAATTCGTCTTAATCCCAAATCTAAATCTACCCACACCAGCCCCAGGGAAAATGTCATTACTCTGCCTTTTGTAACTTAACGGTGGCAAAAAAAAAAACACTCTTCGTTAATATTTTTTCATTATTATGGATGAGGCGAACAAGCCGTGTTTTCGGCGCCTATGTTGTGGAATAAATCTCCTACCTGCATTTTAGGTGAGTGGTGGTGTGGCTTGTGGCTACACCTTAGTGATGATGATGATTATTTTTTTGTTCATCCAAGTCCATGATTTTGTGATTTCTCTGCATGTATCTGCGTATTTGTTTTCCATTTTTTCTTTGTTTCTTTTTTGTTCTTGTGCTGATGGCAGTGTGTTTACCGTAGTTTTTTCGATGGAATCATGTATTTGTGATGATGAAGCAACGAAATGGAGACGGTGTACAGAGCAAAACTTGGGTGACCTCAATCTGGAAAAGAAGTGTACTGTTGAACTCGCGGCGTTTGATCAGTGCATTGTATCTTGGCGCCTTAACGGTGCCAAGGACGTGAAGATAAAGGGCACAAATGAGGGTGAGCCACCACCACAATGTGCTGGTCTCTCTTGTCTAATTGGACGTTGCCTTCAACAAACCAACTACGACTTTTCTAGATGCAAGGTTCATATGCAGCATTTCAAGCACTGCGTAAGAAGTTTTTACGGTTCAGAGTACATTGTGTAGGGTTTTGCAGTTATTTTGCTTATCTGCCAACTCTGGTTTTGCTCTCACCTGCGGTGCTATCGTCGCGTTGCTGGAATGTGTTGCGTTTGGAAAACACGGCAATGCCTTCATGAGGGATGTGTTTGGCCCTCCCCTTTTTGCTTTTGTTTTTTCTTGTCGATGCTACCGTTCCCCATACAACTTTGATTGTTGGGTTGAATTATACCTCCCTATTTGTTCCGTGTTTTCGTTAGGGGTGCCTTTGTAAGGGAGCGACAATGAACTTTTTTAGCGTTTTGTCCACAGCAGCAAGGTTTGACGCCAAAAAACATGGTCCCGCTATGAGGCGCTTCACTCCAGAAGGTGCCAACAAGGATCATTCTGTTGCGCTTGGAAATCCGACACTGCACTGTGATCCCATGGAGATACCTATGCCGTGTCACACGCTGGACATTTTCGGGGGATCCAAAGCCACAGCGACGGCCGAGGGCACAGCTTCGTTAGAAGGGAAATTCCAGCAAAATATTCGAACCAACGCCAGCACAACACACACTCCTCTTCAAAGCATGAGTGTAAAGAAAAAAAGAAACCTGTGGCGGAAAAATGAACTGCAGGTGGAGGGTATTGATGTGCCTCAGCCAATTGAACACTTTTCGGATCTTGTTAGGCCTCCACTCTCTGTGAATGAGCGTCTCGTTTCCAATCTATTTGAGCGAAATCACCGCATCCCAACCCCCATTCAGATGCAGGCAATTCCATCTTTAATTAAGAAGAGAGACGTTCTGGCTTGTGCTCCAACAGGGTCAGGGAAAACGTTGGCCTTTCTTATTCCTATGTTTCATGTGTTAAACGCTCCTAACCCAGAAGCGGGGGTACGAGGGCTTATTATAACGCCTACAATGGAGCTAGCCGAACAAATTGAAAGAGAGGCCTTTTTTCTCATGAAGGGCCAACGATGGAAGCTTGTTCAACATGGACAGTCAACTCGAAACAAGGACATCTTTGTCACGACACCCAGGCGTGTTTTGTTAATGATAGAAAAGAAATTAATTGATCTTTCTAATATACAATATCTGGTGTTTGATGAAGGGGACCGTCTTTGGGACTCGACAACTGATAATCTTCACGTGGTGGACTCTATCCTTACGGCTTGCACGTGTGAAGAGAAGGTGGTGGCGCTGTTTACCGCAACACTGAGTTCAAAGATAGAGGGAATAGCGCGTTCCGTAATGAGTCCGGATCCGATTCGTATTATTGTCTCTGGTCGTGCGTCAGCAAACAAGAAAGTTTCTCAAGAACTTGTTTTTTGTGGTAACGAGTTGGGTAAAATTGTGGCAATACGCAATATGCTTCGTGAGGGGATCTGCCCTCCCGTGCTTATTTTTGTCCAGAGTATCGAGCGTACCAAGGAGCTCTATGACGAAATAAGATGCCAGGGTCTTCATCTAGCAGTGATGAATTCTAAGATGACCCATGAAGAACGAGATGAGACAATAATGAATTTCCGGTTAGGAAAGATATGGGTGATTATCACCACGGAACTTCTGTCACGCGGGATTGATTTTAAGAACGTCGGAACCGTGATAAATTTTGATCTTCCAATTACTGTTGAGTCTTATATTCATCGAATTGGAAGATGTGGGCGGGCGGGAAAAACAGGTAAGGCTATCACATTCTTCACCGAGGATGATAAGGAGCGAATCCCACCGATTGCTCGTGTCATGAAGGAGTCGGGGAGCGATGTTGAGGATTGGATGCTTGAAATAAGGTCGGATCGTCGCACACGCCGCCGAATTGAGCGTTCAACGCCGCAAAGAATGATAGTTAGTACCAGGAAGCGAATGCTTGTTGCCGATCAACGCATGAAGAGGCAGCTTCACCGGTTGGAGAAGGAAGCTGCTAACACGCCAGGTGAAAAATCGGATGACGAGGACGCGTAAAGCACGGCAGCCAAAGCTGCGCGCTTATAAATGGTTATTTAATTATTATTTTGACAAACTTCTTACTGCGAATTTTTTTTTTCTTCTGTGTGTGCTTCTGCTTTTTCACTGCACTGGAGTCTTGAGTAATAGGTGAAAAAGCAGACACCTACCCACACAATAAAAAGTATGATAAGTTCTATTCGCTGGGTGTCTTTTTTTTTTTTTTTCGTTCTTCTTTCTCCTTGTGTTCCTCCCAATAACACCATTAAAGGTAAAAAGATTGATGCTTAGTGAGGGGGAGGAAACAACTTTACTAGCGGTTGCATTGGCTGGTGAAGAAACCTACTGGCTTTGTCAACCGATTCACGGGAAGCGACTTCCACCCGAGTGGAAGCACTGCACGTGTCACTGGCTTTATATTGTGGATGATGCGGATGTACGTAGCCATTTCCCTTGGTACACGGATAGCCTGGGTGTTGTGCTAGAAATTGGTGTAAACGAAACGTCAAAGATTGAACGTTTTGCGGTGATATCTGATTCTGTGAAAGCGAAAAAAATTGTTACTGGCCAGGGAGAGGATGCTAAGGAATACTTTATTCTTGGAAACGAAGAACGAGATATACTGGATGCCAGATTTGAAGAACTCTTGAAGCGCGAGTCGACCGTTTCCACGAGCAAAGCTTCTGTAGATGGAGTTGATGATAAACCACCAGAGGAAGGACGACATGTCGTTTCTAGCTCTGCTATGGAGGGGACAAATGGTGTGCGAGGAGGGAACGGCGTAGTTTTTGCATGGAATAGATTTTATATTGTGGAGTATGGAAATCGCGTATTCTACGTGTGTTCGGCTCCTCATGGTAATAAGCATGGGTTTAAGGTAGAAAGACTCATTCGCAAAGGAATAACTATATTTTTACTGTTTCAGGATAACGGTGCTGGTCCCTGTAGAGTGAGTGAATTACAAGAGGGGGAGAGGGCCACAGTGAGCTCTGTCCTGGAAGGAGAACGAGGTAAAGTGATGGTTTTGATGACGGAAGGGCGTGAGGTGGCTCCCGGGAGGATTAGAGAAGAATCTTTGGAGTGCACCGTGTTTGGGCCTCCAACAAAGACTGCGAGAAAGGAGAATTCAAGAGCAAATTGTTCTCACCGTAGGCCTCTGCGAGCAGCTGGTGTAAATTTATGGGTTGATGTTAATGGTTCTGCAGAAGGGGTAATGAATCTGGCGGAATTGTTTCCTTTTTCATCCGAGTTTGGAGGATCAGTGCGCACAACGGTTTTTTCCGACGGAACTTGTGTGACGTACAATCTGGCGACAGCTTCAAAGTTTGCTGGGAAAAAGAAAGTTGCCGCCACGTCGACAGATTGCGACATGGTTGAGCTTCTGGAGAATATCCAGTTGGCGAAGGAACAGTTGAACGCCATATGAGGCGAGAAGGACGTTTCTTGCGCTACTTCGTGTTGTACTATTGGTTGGGCTTGGTGCAACATGTACGTATTTTTTTTCTGCTATCTGTGGCGTTATTGCCGTTTGACAATTGCTCTTGCTAAGGCCAATACCTTTAGTTTTTTTTTTTTTTTTTACACGTTACCGCTGGAAGGAGCGTGCATAGTTGTTGTTGTTTTTTTTTTGTTTTTTTGTTGCTTCTTTGCCTGTCTTTTTTGATGGCGTGAGGTGGGGGGGAAGGAATAGGAGGGAGGGTGGGGGTGGGGGCATGCTGCGCTTCCGTCAGGTACTCACATTAACTGTTGGCGGAAGCATTCGGTGTGTGTTCCAGAGTAAGGCCTTTGCTAGCGTTAGCAAGGAGCTTCCCTCGACACCAGAGGGAAAAAATCCGTATGACGTCCTTGAAATTACCGTTACAAACGCCACAAGCTTGGATGATGTATCAAAGCAGTTTAGAGAGCTTGTGGTTTTGAACCATCCTGACCAACCGGGCGGCTCACATGAGAGGATGTCAGAAGTCAATGCAGCCTACAAGATAATTAAGGAAAATCACAACAAGCTGATTCAGCGATTGAAGGACCATGAGACAGATACAAAAGGAAGCCAGACCTTTCAAAGACACAGACACGCTCGGGCTCGTAGTGATGATAATCTTGGACGCTCCGGTGGTGTTTATCGTCAAAATGCAAAGACTGCCGAACAAACTAGTGGTGCTCGAAGGGCTCGTTCTCTTCAAGAAATTGAATTGGAGTGGAAACATATTAAGGATGGGACGGAGAAGTCTGTCTTAAGCATGTGTAACCGTTACGAACTGGCTGTGGAAAAAGGACGCTTTTTCCGAAAAACGTCCATGCTTAACGAAATTACTGTACGAGAACGTTGGCTTCGAAAAAGTTTTGTGAAAAATGTGTGGGAGGAAGTTCACGAGTTACGGGGGGAACTGCTTCGTCGAGGCGCACGTAGCGCTCAGCAGTCACAGCTGGCAGAAGAGATGGTCACCTTTGCATCTTCTGTCCAGCGGAAGTTGAATGATGATTTTCAGCGACTCACACAACTGAGTGTGCAGTCACAATCTCATCTGTTTCTTCAGCGGGTATTATTCACACTGTTGCTAGTGGTTGTTTTCATCAAGGTGTGGGAGTGGATCGTCAAAGGAATGTTTAAAAATTCACTCACGGTAAAACTTCGGCAGGGAGTTTTAAGCCACTAAGCGTGGCATTGGCTGTGTGTTTGTGTTTGGTGAAGTATAGAAAAAGAGTGGGGCTGCTTTTCTGGTGAAGGTGAGTGGTTTGGGCTACTGTTGTATTTCTTCTCATCCGTATTCTCCATTTGTGTGTGTGCGTGTGGTCTTCCGACATTCCTTTCTTGGCTCCTACCGTCACAAATGGTGGGATGCAACTCGGTGTTTTGTTTGTCGTGAATTTCTCTCGCATTTTGGAAATGTCTCTTCATCGGTCTCTGTTTTTTGTTTTTTTTTGACTCTCTGCGCAAGCCTGGCAATTGCCTGATTGGCCGGGGCTCATGCGACTTCCTCAGCAGGGAAATGTTCAGTCAATAAAAATGGAGGGCACCAACGTGGATTCAGAGCATAGCGCTGCCTTTGATCCATTTGATGGTGTAGAAAAAGACGAGGCAACAGAAATTAAAATCAAATGGTGGTCGGATCACGTTGGGGAAGTGTTAGATACTCACCGAAGTCCTTTCGTAGCTGCAGAAATTTTGTTGCAGCAGATGCATGAGTATGGCGCCGGTGGAGATATTACAGAACATCTTCTCCTGGCCACTGTGTTGCCTGTTCTACATCGTTGTGCAAAGGGTTTGGGAACGTATGGTGAGCTTTTAGAGAAGGCGTTACACGAACTTCTTCCTGCGATATTATTTACAAGAACGTATGCTTTTCCTCATAGGGAGGTACTTCAACGACGCCCCTATGCAGAGTGCTTTGAGTGTATTCGTCGGAAATTCAATTATCATGTCCAGTTATCTTCTATGATACAGCGCAAAGTTGTACTGGAAGAGGAAGTCATGGCGCGCGCTGTTCGTAAGCTTGATAAGTTATGGTTGAAGATGTGCTTTAGAGCCTGGGGTGGCCTCTGCGCTCACATTCGGGCAAAGAAGCGGGGATTTCAGCGTCTGGTTGTCAGAGGGGGGGCGTTGAGGGTAGTCCCAGGGCTTATCAGGAGTTGGCGCCGCTACGCGCACGAGGTCACACTTCGCGAGAAACTCTTAAAACATAATGCACTCGCAAAGGAGTATGAGGAACTATTTCTTGTGGAACAAGTGCTTAAGAGTCGTCACGAGCGCATTCTAGAGGAGGTTCGGGAGAAAAATCGATCTTTGGAAGTAACAACGGAGCGTTGTAAGGAGACGGAAAATCGGCTAAAGGCTCTTGAAGGCATTTTAGATGAAACCATGACCTCGCTCCGAGCGCATTGGAAAAGCTGGAACGAGACTACGGTTAATCTTTTCTCCGACACCAACGAATTTCAGCTTCCCGTATTTGGGAATCTTCGTTCGGATGTCCAGTCCACTGTACAAAATATAACCGATACGGCGGCGTTTTACTTGCGAGAAGCTCAGAAGCGCACATGTAAAGTAGGCAAAAATACTATCAGTCAGTTTATTTTAAAAACGAACTTGGGTGGCCGGTTCGTTGAGCGGTGGGGGCCGGATGATCTTATGGCTATGGTGACGAACGTCTGCAATACTGTGACGCCACCATTGAGACTCGTTGATGTGGTTCGCGACGATCAACAGAAGTACGATTTAACCCTCAAGTTTCTTGCTTGCGTAAATAGCGGTGGTCATTGCTCCTTGTTTACTCAGCATCAATTTAGTTCCGAGGATGAGTTTTCAGTAGATGACTGCACTGAGCATGGGAAGGAGATGGTGGCCCACGTTGCAACCGGCGTGGATTCGCTTCATTGTTGCCCGGAGTCAAATAGGAAGTATATTGAGGCTATGCAAAATTGTTTGACAGCTGAGGAGCTGAATCACGTACATGACTACTTGGATAGGGTATTTTGCGAACTTGCTGCAGCTGGTCTTCCCCTACAGAGGGACAAAATTGAAAAGTGTGTTGTTGCCATTGTGGAACCGCACGACCGCCAGGTCGTCCGCGCCTTGTATCCTTCACAGGGCATTAAGTCTGTTTCTGACATGGTGAACTACCTCCTAAAGCTTTCACAGTTTACGTCGTGGACAATTAGCAGTTTGGTGGAGCTTTTAGAGAGTAACTATGACGCTGATCCCAAGGAGGACCTCTTTGTTGCGTTGTGTGACGAGGGTGTTGTGAACTACTTCCACGAACACGCCACAGCCCTTGATGGCCTCTTTGCAAAGTTTAACGAAAGAAAAACCCAGATGTTTCTTTCAGAGAAACTAATGAGGGGATTTGTGATTGCCAAGTTTGGCCTTTTAGATAGTGAGGTGGACACCTTATTCAGCTTTAATGCGGCCACGGGGAAGATGACCAGGAATGAGTTTAACAAGTTTCTTCTCGCACTTGCTGCCTTTGTTGACCCCTCACCTTTTGTGCCGGCGGCTGAAAAACTTGCGGTCGTAGTCGAACAATGTATAGAGGCAAAATAACTTTTTTTCGGACCAGCAGTCACAAAGTGGCATGAAAAAAGAAAAAAAAACGAGCCGAGGTGGAAGCAAAGAGAACCAAAATCTAGATGAGGCTGAATTGTGCATGCGTGTGTTTTGCTTTTTTTTTTTTGGGTTGGCGGTGGTGTACGTTTGTCTGTATGTATGTATGTATGTATGTGTGTGTGTGTATTTTCTTGTCGGCAGTTGCTTGTTGAAGTTTGGTTCTATTTTTAATCTTGGGATTCATTTTTTGTTCTGTTTTTTGTTTTGCCATTTTGTGAAGGATCAACAAATTGATTATATGTGTCCAGACAAATGTGTTCCTGCAAAACTGCTCACCGAACATTTGTTCATCACATGGCGTTAGATCCGTCGGGTGTTTTGCTTGCAACGTGCTCAAGTGACAAGGAAGTAAACATATTTTATCGTAATTCATTAGTGGACGAGCCTAGTGCCTGGACCTTATGTTGTATTTTAAAGGATCATGTGGCCACGGTTACTCGTGTGGCATGGTGCTTACACAGGGAGCATGGACCTTTGCTTGCCACCGCGGGTGCTGATAGGTGGTTTTACGTGTATAAAATTATACTGACGATGCATGGTGGGAAAATGGTGTGTGATGCAGTGAAATATTCTGTTATTAGGGGGTTTGAAAAGGATGTCATCACCGATGTGGCGTTTATTCCTTTTGAACAGCATCGTATTCTCCGCTTGTCAACCGCATCGTTGGATGGCTGGATACGTTTGTACGACATCCAACCTGTGCAATTCCTATGTGTTAGCAAAATCACGCAGGAGACACAGACAGGTAGAAGCGTAGACACGCGCCGTCGTGGAATTACCTCCATTGCCTGGTTTCCAAGTTCGGCTGATGAAGGCAGGGCTCTTGCTATTGGATGCATGAATGGGGCCTTTTTCCTGTACCGATCTTCAAAGGACTGTGAAAAGTTTGAGCGTGTGCGCAGTGCGCTTCCTGAAAGAGCGGATACCTCTATTCATCATATTGTTTGGGCTCCTTGTGTTGGGCGTTCCTTTCAGTTGCTGGCGATTTGCTGCCGTAGTTCTGTGTATATTGTGCGGCTTAATTGTGTTTCGCCCGTCTTGGAGTCATACAATTGCGACGTCTTTCGTTGGCCCCGAGGGGCGGCGTGCGCGGCGTGGAGTCGTTCTGCCTCACTGCTTTACCTAATCAACGATGATGATGCAAGTGAGATGACGCTCCTGCAAGCAAAAGACCCGTCAGATCATCAGTCGTGGAGGGAAGTACCACATAATTTTTTCTGAAGGGGGGAGGGGAGGGGATGAAAAAGATGACTGTTTCTCCCACAAAAAAAAAAAAAAATTGTTTGATAATTTTTGCGGCCCTTGCGCAGGTGCTTTATCTGGGCTCTCGCTCCGGTTGATCGCAACGCATGCACGCATGTATTAATGCATCTGAGAATGTGCCCACGATTATATATATATATATATGCTTTTCTCTGTTCTTCTGTGCGGGCGTGGCCGCAACGAAAAAAAACAACAACAACAACTGAAATACCAACGCCAAAGCTTTCAAAAGAAGTAACAATTTGCCTTTTGTTTTTTCTCTTTTTATTTGACGTGCCTTTGACAGCGTGTTCTTCCTAACGACATACTAATCAGTTCTTGGGGCAATCCTTCGAAATGCATGGGAGTAAGTCTACAGTTGAGATGGGATTTTGCTCCATTCATAGACGGAAGCGAACACGGGTGGATTTAATGCCGGTGGATGGCCAAACTGGGCAAATGCGTTGTAAATTCCACAAGGAATGTCGCCAGCGTGTGGAGACAGAAATGGTTATTTGTAGTCTCCATAACCGACGGAGAAATATAAATCAAATGAAGGAAGTTCGCAAGGGGATATTCGAATGTTTGCCACAGTTTGCTTGTCGTGGTCAGTTCAATGAAGCAGCTGTGCCAACATCTCATGCACCGGTGCCACATCCGCATTATGTCCTCCCACCAAAAGGTAGTCGACCCCAACAAGTTTTTGGAGAGGTCCATTCTGCCCCATCAACGAGTGTGAACTGGACACCTGCATTTAATCGCCCACGCAATGCAGGGGTAGTGACTTCTTCTGATTGGACACAAACCGATCACAAAATGTGGTGCGCCAAACACGGAAAGTTGACGTCTCAGTGTGAGTTGATCAAGGACTGCTACCACGTCTGCTACGATGCGTCGGCGTGCCTCTCTACGCCCTTGGAATTGCCTTCCGAGCTGTTGCTAAAAGGATGCAAAGATCTTTTGTGCTCAAAGCACAATGCTTTAAGGTTGGTAGATTTTCTTGAGAGAACTCCGGATGAAAAGGGATATCAATGTACTCCGGGTCACCGCTGTCGGGGAACGCTTGTCAACCAGCGCGATGCAGTTTCAGAACAGGTGCTGCAGCCCGCCAGAGAAGCTGTTTCCTCTTTTTTCGTATAAGAGTTGGATATGAGCTGAGCAATACTATTACTGCTCTGCAGGTAAATATAGATATTTATTTTTGGATGAAGGTGCCATAATGTTTTGTACGATTGCAGGTCTGCATGCTTTGCTTTGCTTTGCGCCATGTCGCGTTCTCCAACTACGTGTGTTTTTTTTTTCCCCCACTGTCTTGCAAAAAATACTTTTGTTACACATATATATTTATATATATGTATAAATGTAGGAAATGACGGAAACGGGGATACTGTCCGTTTCGGCTGACTCTAAAAATGGGTTAGTGGATGGAATGGAGGAAGAACGTACTGTTCACTATTCCGTGATGGAAGAGCTTCCTCAGGGTAATCTGCATTTGAGTTTTCGCGGAATCGTTGATGTTGTATGCCAAAGAACAGTGGTTTTGGTTGTTCTTTTGTTAATTCAGTCACTATCTCAGTTTGTACTTGGGATGTACGAGGGACTCATCTCTCGTCATGTCATGATTCCCATGTTTCTTACAATGATTATAGGGGCCGGAGGCAATGCAGGAAATCAGTCGGCTGTACGATGCATCACTGGCTTGACGACGCGCGAATTTAGACGACGTGACTTTCTTATAGTGCTTAGAAAAGAATTTGTTTGCGGCCTCATTATTTCCTTACTGCTAACCGTAGTTGGTTTTGCTAGGGTGTACTACTTCTACTGGTCCCAGTTCTATTCAACAATTGCGATATCCATGTCACTGTTTTGTGTCTTGATGATTTCTGCCCTATTCGGCACAACACTACCTTTTTTCTTTCAGTTTGTGGGTATAAATAGGGAGCATGCAGCACCTTGCATTCAGGTGTTAATGGACATTGTGGGTGTTTTTATTACATGTTTCTTGTGCTCGCTCGTTATTCCCGCGAGTGAGGGCAGCATTGGCAACGGCGTAAAGTGAGGGATAATACGGTTATGGAGGAAACTCCAAGCGCAAAACTGTCAGGGTGAAGGAACCGTCAGGGAAGTTTGCCGTGATGTGGAATGGAAGGGACGGACCACTTTTGTAAAGCGTTCCGTCCATGAGCAAGAAGGGGGAAGCAATTTGCCGATAAAACATAATGCGTAGAATTCTTTTTTTTTTTTTCTATTTGCTTGTTCTTCGAATTTTGTTTACTTTTTTGTTTTGTTTTGTTTTGTTTGCTTTTGTAGCTTGGAAAAGCAACTGAAAAATGGTTGAGGCTACCCCAGAGATGGCAAAGTATTGCTTTGCTGTGATATCTAGTCAGTTAAAGAGAGAGGCAATTCCAACAGTGCCCCAGAGTATCCCTAACGAGCCGTGTCCTGTGTTTGTCAGCCTTAAGACAATAGATGGGGCACTTCGAGGATGTATTGGGACCTTTACTGCCGACCCGCTACATGAACAGCTAAAAAATTACGCCATAGCTGCGGCCTGCGAGGACAGTCGTTTCAATCCGGTTGAACTAAGCGAACTTCCTTCACTGAGCTGTACGGTTTACGTCCTGCACTCCTTTGAGAAGGCAGCCGACTGGAAGGACTGGGTGATAGGCGTTCATGGAATACGGATTACGTATAAGAGTTACTCTGCCACGTTCCTTCCGTCTGTTATGTCTGAGGAAGGGTGGAATCATGAGCAAACCTTACGTCACTTACTAAGGAAGGCGGGGTATGGGGGCGACGTGACAGAATCCGTCCTCGATAAGGTTTACGTGACTCGATACCAGGAAAGCAAGGCCAGCATCGACTTTTTATCTATTGTGCCAGGGAATTAGTGCCGTGTGCTGCTTTTTTATTATTTATATTTTTGTTTTGTGTGGGCTGAGAGGGAGAGTGAGGGGCTGAGACTGCGACAGGTGGAGGTCTGGTGCCTTGTCATGAGTTGGCACTTGAGACGCAAGCGCGAAGAATGGACAACGCGCAGTAGTCATAGTGAAGAAGAAACGAAGTTTGAGCAAATCTTATTTTAGCTTATAAAAGGAAGAAGCCCTCTTATCTGGGGGGTGGGGGGTGGGGGGTGGGGGATGGGGGCAAGGACAGATGCTGATGAAAAAGGAGAGAGATATATAATTATGTGGTTTTTTTTCCTGTTTATACGTGAAAAGGTGGGAGTGGAAGCGCAACACTGAAAGAGCGAGAGCAACGAAAGCATGCTTGCATTTACATGACCATTTTTTAAACGTTTTCTTCTCATCTTTTTGCGTGCAACAGCGTAACGTTGGGTGATGTTAAAGTGGATGCTCTACTAGCGGACTGCTCGGCGAATTCCTCGTGTGGATCTCTCTGGTCAGCAAAGGGGCGCAAAAGAAGGTTCAAGAAGGTGGATGGGTTCAAATTTGGCGGAGTTTTTCCCGGGCATGTTCGGGAATTCATTGCTTCTTTTATGGAGCAAGGTGCAAGCGTGAGTCGTGGGATGCCACGGGTGAAGAGCGAGTCTACACTCCATTTGAAGGCTTAGATGCAAATTAGGTTGGGGCGGATGTTATTGCGAGTCAACGGCCGTTAACGTCGCTTCTTATAAAATATCTTCTTGTACAATCGTTTAAGGCGCATCGAATAACAGAGGCCTTTAACTTGGCGGGAAAAGGAGAGCATGCAAATTGTGGTCCAGATGGAGTTTACCCGTGAACAGGGTATAGTTACAACGGGGAAGGTGATTAGATGCGACGTAGCATTGGTTGCTACAAGTTTTCATGGACAGAGATGACGGCACCGCAACAAGACATTGTCTTACGAAGTCTACAAGTGATGGTTTTTCGTGTGAAAAATTCTGGCAAGGTTCTAGTTTACTGTTATGCAGGATTGGGTCGTACTGAACTCATGGCAGCTTTCTATTTGGTTTACAGTCAGCATATGCCAAGCGAGGAGGCCATAAAGCTTGCTCGTCAAGCGACACCTAGGGATATTCAATCTTCAAGTCAGGGCAAGTTTATTTGCTATTTTGAACGTCATTTGTGGCGGCTGGCGCAGACATTTCGGGTGGTGGTCTCTGATGCCATTGTAGACATTGAGTTGTTTTTTTTTTTTTGCAACAACAACGTTTGGTGTTGCACGGGGGAGCGGCGGACAGTTACCATTTTGTCCCTGTAGTGATTCATGTGCTTCTCTGTCGTCTGTTAAATTTGGCAATGAGTCATGTACAGAGGGCATAATTGGTAGTCGCGTCCTTTGCGTCTAGCGCCTCGCTTGGTGAGACTACACTAAGTGCGTGTAGACTATCTATTAACAGGCGTCGCTCCAACGTGATGACTATGAGAGATGTGAGCGTTCTTAGTTTTCTCGTCTGCGATTGGTCTTGTTCCACGTCATCTCCGGCACTCACTGTCGAGGCTTGCAATGCCATTCTGGAGGCCAAAAGGATGCTCCCCTTTGAACGTGATCCAATTTTGGATGAAATTGTTTTTATCATGAGTTGATCAGTTTGACACGCTTGTGCGTGGTTGTCTCGGCGTTCTGCATTATTTCCCTTTAAGTCAAGGCGTTCGTGAAATCGTACGTTTTTTGCTGTCTTGCAAATTTATTTACGCTTCCACACGGTCCTGTAAAATCCAGACGCCGCCCCATTGAACGTGAATTGATTTATGAATTCCTTCTTGAGCAGTCTAATTCCATTCACGATTTGTACTTCAATGCGGATTGGGATGAATAA